GGACCAAGAAGACAGAGCATCACTTGCCCCAGAGCCCCTAGCTATACCTTGTGGCTAATAGCCACTGATGGACCTCTGCTCCATATGCTTATCTAATTCCCTTTTGAAGCCGTCCATGTTTGTAGCCACCACCACTTCCTGTGGCAGTGAATTCCATGTGTTAATCACTCTTTGGGTGAAGAAGTACTTCCTTTTATCCGTTCTAACCCGACCGCTCAGCAATTTCATGGAGTGCCCACGAGTTCTTGTATTGTGAGAAAGGGAGAAAAGTACCTCTTTCTCCACCTGCTCTATCCCATGCATAATCTTAGTAGTTCAGCAGTTTGAGACCTGAGTGAGCTCCCGTCTCTGGTCCCAGCTCCTGCCAACCTAGCAGTTCGAAAGCAAGAAATTCCAAGTAGCTAAATAGGGACCACTTCGGTGGGAAGGTAACAGCGTTCTGTGTGCCTCGGTGTCTAGTCATGCCGGCCACATAACCATAGAAATGTCTTCGGACAGCGCTGGCTCTTCGGCTTGGAAACGGAGATGAGCCCTGCAGTCCTAGAATCGGATTGACTGGCTTTCAAGCAAGGGAAACCTTTCCCTTTACCTATGGATGCTATAACATAAGGATGGGACAGTATCTTCCAAAAGCAGCAGTCCTTAAAGAAAACTGGGCAGGTTTCTTGGGGATTTTTGTTCTTTACTAGAATCTGCCTCGCTCACGCAGCCGACCATGCATTCCATTCTCCAAACTAACAGTGCATATAGTCAGTGAACTCAGGTGGGTAGCCGTGTTGATATGAAGCTACAAAGCGGAAGGTAACAGCGTCCCATGCTCCTCGGTGTCTAGTCATGCCGGCCACATGACCATAGAAATGTCTTCGGACAGCGCTGGCTCTTCGGCTTGGAAACGGAGATGAGCACTGCAGTCCTAGAGTCGGATTGACTGGCTTTCAAGCAAGGGAAACCTTTCCCTTTACCGATGGATGCTATAACACAAGGATGGGATGGTATCTTCCAAAAGCAGCAGTCCTTTAAGAAAACTGGGCAGGTTTCTCGAGGATTTTTGCTCTTTACTAGAATCTGCCTCCCTCACCCAGCTGACCATGCATTCCATTCTCCAAACTAACAGTGCAAATAGTCAGTGAACTCAGGTGGGTAGCCGTGTTGATATGAAGCAACAAAGTTTGATTCCAGCGGCCCCTTTAAGACCAACAAAATTTAAATCTGGGTAATTCTATTGCACTGTTTACTTCTGTGTTGTTTGACTGAATTCAAGTCAAGTCAAGTCAAATCAGCCTTTATTGAATTGTTTTCTGTATTTTGTAATAGGCCTTGAGTCTCCGTGAGAAAGCATAGCTCACTCCGTCATGCGTGAGAAAGCATAGCCGTAAATGAATAATAATCTAAGGTAAATAGTCCCTCAATATCTTCTCTTGTTTAAAGAACTTTAGGAATTCCTTGCTGGGTCAGACCAAAGTCCACCTACCTGTCTTCGCAAACATATACGGGCGGGCAGCCAGCCTGCGCTAGATGGAGTGGGCCACCGCAATGGGCCGGTGATCCATATAAATGGGAAAGCAAAGTACCTTTCTCTACCAAGCCCCCCTCCCCCCCCCGAATATTTTCATACTGGTTTTTAGAGGGAGGAGAACATGAGGCTTTCAAATGTAGTGGTTAATCCCCGTGTATTTCATTCAAGTTTGCCCCGCACATGGAAATTGCTGAGTGGTCGGGTTAGAACAGATAAAAGGAAGTCCTTCTTCACCCAAAGAGTGATTAACACATGGAATTCACTGCCACAGGAAGTGGTGGCGGCTACAAGCATGGACGCTTCAAAAGGGAATTAGATAAGCATATGGAGCAGAGGTCCATCAGTGGCTATTAGCCACAAGGTATAGATAGGGGCTCTGGGGCAAGTGATGCTCTGTCTTCTTGGTGCTTTGGGGGTGTCATCAGTGGGAGGGCTTCTAATGTCCTGGCCCCACTGGTGGACCTCCTGATGGCACCTGGTATTTCTGGCCACTGTGTGATACAGAGTGTTGGACTGGATGGGCCTTTGGCCTGATCCAACATTGGCGTCTCTTATGTTCTTATGGAGGTGTCTGCGTACTGCAATTGGGAACCGGACGTGATTCCTGCGTGGAAACCCGGCTTGTTCGGAAACCTCTTTGGCGGCTGCTCCTGCCCCCGCCTGGTCTAGTGGTTCGTCTGGCGACCGTGATTGAGCGGTAGGCGATGAGTCTCCGCCTCCCACGTACGGTTGTGATTGGTTGGAATGGTCTGGGCTGATGCGAGAAATAGTGGCCGGAGGGGAGGGGGGGAAAGAGGTAAAACGCCCGCCTGGGAAGGAGTTCCGCGGTGTTCTTGCCTTGCTGCAAAGAGACTCGCGCGCCACCTTAATCATGTCCCAGGTGAGTGTTTTCAACAGCGCTTGTAAGGCAAAGCAACGCTGCCTTCCCTTAAGTCGCTAAGGGCGTCCGCCTCCCCCAGTACTGGGTTGGATGGTGCGTGCTTGTGTTCTGGCTTAGAG